AGTGGGATTCCTTCCCAGGTAATCCTCAGAGCTCGGGATGCTTGTCTATTCTTAAGGTGAACCTTTATTCATATCCCGCTACCATCTCCCGAAGGACTTGATGTGGCTTACAAGAGGCCGAGCCCTAATACATCAGTAAAACAACAATAACAACAATACAACAATAAATGAACTTGAAAACAAAGCAATAAAAACAAAGCAATAAACATTAACCAGACACCACTACGCGTTAAAACCTATGGCAGGGCCAAATGTAATAATTTTTTTTTTTTAAATATGCTGGGCATTACCAGGTGAAAAGGATAGGTATTTGGAGGGGGAAGGGGCGTGCAGACAACCTGGATCTCTAGTAAAGTGCATTTGGGGACATATTGCTTGGAGTTTTCTTATTCTGGGAAGGCACACTGGAACAGCCAGGTTTTCAAGGTCCTCTTAAACATAACTGTCCTGCATAGGGGAGCCCATATATTCAACAGGATGAAATGCTTTTCCAAATTAAGTTCACTAAACCGCTAAAGCAGGCTTCTGTGCTTTGACTAAAGTTGAGCAGATTATCTCTGTCTCCTTTACCAACTACACTCTAAGCTTTGAGCCATTTACTAAAAGGAAGACTATGTGGAGGAGCCCACTTACCAATCTTTGTCTCATTATACCTTGTATTGGACTCGATTGTAAGGAAGATTTGAGGAATGCAGATCCATCCCTGGGAATCTATGTGGCAAGCGCTATCAGCTGCCATTCCAGTTCAAATAGATCATAACCTCAAGTCCTAAGGTGCTGTCTTCTGAAAATAAAACCAAAGGGGTGATTTATGGGGATGGGGGGGGGGGGTAAGGAAAAACCCTTATCTGATTAAACTGCATATTTCAGGACCATGGCTTGACCTGCACCTGGCTGTGCCTGTCATCTCCCATACATAATGCTTGAAAGAGGTTTTGGATTAAGATTGCTGCTTTAATTGGGTTTGCTCAAATTGTGCTTTGTCTTTGACCTGTTTCAGAGCCGCTTGTTATAAAAGAAGCGTTTCCACCATTCACCGAGTTTTGCCTTTCTTCACATGCCTCTTCTGAGCTCTGTAGAAAAGCAGGCAAAGGCTATTTTATCCTCAGATGAGTTACTGAAGAATTTTCCTGGAGACGAAAGATGAGAGAGCTGTCAAATTTCCAAATATATAGTGCTACTTCCAACTTGAGAACAGTTTTTTCCCTACTTTTACTGTAGGAGTTTCAGGACTCTTCTAGAAGATGAGGATTGAGTTACCTTGTTTAAACTTCAAAAACGTGAAACTAGGACACATATTTTTTTCCTGTCATTATTAGCTCAAAAGTAAGTGAAGCAGCCTCTATCTACAGAATGAGACCACTTTTCATTGTTCTCATATCTGACACAGAAAACCAGGACAAAAGATTAAAAGTGAGGAGCACCACTTGAAAAATGGAAAGAATCTAGGCCTGTGAATGTAAAGAGACTTCAGCATATTAGATGACATTATTTTAATACATTTCTCTATGAATACTGATAGCAATGCACAAGAAGCTAACAATGAAAGATTAGAAATTGTTCATGTTCTGCTTCTCCTTTAAAAAAATAATCAAAGCTATATTACTGGTACTGAAACATAGGCTCTTTGTTTTCATTTGTAATAAAAAGGTGTCTGTAGTGATTTGGGTACTTTTTACTAACTATTGTTAAGAGAATATTTTACTATACTGATACTGCTTGTATAATAGTTATAATGCATTTTATTTGGGTCTGCGCTTCAAAATTGCAGGTGGTCCAACTGAGACTGTACCTCATGAAGGCTGATCTGGCCAGGGTGGTCCATGCCTTGGTCACCTCCAGATTGGACTACTGTAATGCGCTCTACGTGGGGCTACCCTTGAAAACGGTTGGCGGCCAGGTTGTTAACTGGTGCTCCTTACAGAGAGAGGACAACCCTCCTGTTTAAGGAGCTCCATTGGCTGCCGTTCATCTTCCGGTCCCAATTCAAGGTGCAGGTGCTCACCTATAAAGCCCTAAATGGTTTGGGACCTGCCTACCTGCGTGACCGCATCTCCGTCTATGAACCCGCACGCTCCGATCATCTGGAGAGGCCCTGCTCACAACCCCACCTGCGTTGCAGGCACATTTGGTGGGGACGAGGGACAGGGCCTTCTCTGTGGTGGCCCCCCGACTCTGGAACTCTCTCCCTAAGGACATCAGACAAGCCCCAACGTTGGCTGTCTTTAGGAAGAGCCTAAAGACCTGGCTGTTCCAGTGTGCCTTTCCAGAATAGGAAACTCCAGGCTTCAAGTGCCAAATGCACTTTGCCAGAGATTCAGGATTATTTGCACATTGCACCTACCTCTAAATACCTCTACATATTACCTGTCAAGTTCAGCACTTTTAAATTTTGTCCATTACATTTGGCCTGTCCTTTAGGTTTTAATGGCGTCACAGTGTCATTGTTTTACTGTTCTATTGTTTTGCTTGACGTTTTATTATTTGCTTATGAGTTTATTGTGTATTGTATGTTGTTGATTGTCGGCAGCCTTGGCCTTTGTAAGCCGCATTGAGTCCTTCGGGAGATTTTGCAGGGTATAAATAAAGTTAATAATAATAATAATAATACCATAAATATATACAAACATTAAAATCACTTATATTCACATTAATGTCACAAGATGTTGCACAAAACATGAGTTAGTAAACATCAGTACTTTTTTGGTTTTAGTATTCTCTGTTCCCATTACCTTAAACATCACTTTGTTTGATTGGAGGCTACTTTGGTTCAGTAAAAATATGGCTTATTAAACCTTTCTATAATTCATTTTAGAAAGAAAAATCCAGTGAAGGAGAGAAAGGCCACATCTACACTGCCATATAAAATCCACATTATCTGCTTTAAACTGGATTGTATGGCAGTGTCAGGAGTTGTCAAGTAAATTATTGATTACTTGGTTCCTTCTTCTTCTAACATTGTTTAACTTTTCTGAGAACCCTTCTACACTGCCCATATATGCCAGGATCTGATCCCAGATTATCTGGCAGTGGAGACACATATAATCTTTAAAGCAGATTATCCTGGATGATATAGGGCATTGTAGAAGAGGCCTGAGTGATGCTGAAGTTATCTGCATATTACAATTGGCTTACTTATTTTTGGAATCTTAAACTTCATTAGGGTGGATGCTTTTTCTTCTAACAGGTTTAGAAAGACATCATGGCCTAAGGAGAAGAAGAAGAATTAGGATAAATTGAAATGTATCACATGGCTCTTTCGATAATGGGGAATGGGTTAGTTCTGTAAATCTACCATAAGAATAGCTATGAAAGAATTAAAGAAGTGGGATTGCAGAGCAATTGGTGAAGAACAGAAAAAGCTAGAAATGTAAAGTTTAGAATGGGAGGGGAAAATCATTTATTTGCTTAGCGCTCATATACCTTACCGAATGTAAATACTCTTTAGATCCAAAAGGTTGGTATTCCCCTTCTATCACCAATTCATTGTGCATCTTCTTCAGAGGTGGGGAGAACAGTCGGAATTCTCATTTCTCCTACTCTATTGCTGGTATTTGGGGTTCATTGGTTATTATAAATTTATTGTTGCTCCTACAATAATAATTTTTGGATGATCAAGTAGAGATCGCCCTCCAAATTTTGTTTTCCACACAGCCACTACTTCAGTGTGCCACTTGGTTTGGAGTGTTTGGTGATGATGGAGTTGTGACTTTCTAGCCAATTTGTTCTGCCAAATCCATGCCCATCCCATTTCTACTTAGTAGTAAATTCCTTTGAACCCCTTTGTAATATTTTGCTGGAAATGAGGAGTTAGATAGGGTGTAATAAGTAACTCATTTCTGTAGAAAATGAAGGAAGGATGAGAAGAACATTCTACAAAACATTTCTGATCAAGAATTCTTCAGTCTTGTGGTTCACTGACTAATCTTTAGTCAGTCACTTATAACAAGAAGTGACTGACTATAGATTAGTCACAAATGACAAGTGTCTGTTAGTTAAAATAAATATATTGTTACATGCTACCTTTCCACACATTCCTTATTAACTTTTAATAAATTTTGCATTTGAAGAAGAAGTGAGTAGTGTATGTGTGTAAGACTGTAGGTTTTATATAGCAATATTAAATGATCACTCACAAGCCGGTTTTGCTTGGAAATGAATATATTGCTTGTATCTCTGCAGCAAAGAAAGACACTACTGACTTTTTCCCACCACCACTTCCTTTTATACACTTTTCCTGCCCATCTCCCCCCTCTTCCCAACTTGTTGCTTCACAAGTTCCAATACAAGGTTTCCAGCGCCCTCAGCTGGCTTCAAAATGTCACAGAGAGAAAAGGCAGCCAGAATGATTCAGTCAGGATGTCACGGAGGGAATTTGTGATGTCTTCGTGCCGTCAGAAATTGAATCCTGACGTGTTGCTGTGGGTAGGGGGGCTGAAGGAAGAGAAGCAGAGATGGAAGGTTATTTAAAGAGGTTGAAAAAACAGTGGTTGCTTTAGAACTGCTGTACCCATTCTGACAACATTGTAATGTATGTCAAGACATAGGCAACAGCTGTATTACAGGCTTTGTTGGGAAACTCAAACTTTGGTCAACTAACTAAGTAATGATAATTTAATACATTTATGAATTCAATTAAAAGCGCTAATGGCAATGATCCAGTATTTGATATTGCTGAATTAATTTCAATAATTTAATATTTTAAATACTGACTCTGCCAAGTGAATGTTTTGCATCCTATCCACTTCTCAACTCCTTCCTCAGATTCCCTTTTCTGTCGCATCTTTTAGAATGTAAGTCTGATAGCAGGAACCTTCTTATAGCTGCTTTTTGTAAGCTTTTAGAGTGTTCATTCGTAACGGAGGAAGGTAAAAGTCCTTTAAATGAATAGCAATATAACAATAAATAAGTAATATTCATCTTTTTTTTCACCTCTGCATCTGCTTCCTAGCATTTAAGAAACACATCTCAACTGATTCATTTCCTATTATCTCTCGAAGCTGACAGAGTTAGAGTTCCCTCCCAAGAAACTCTTCGGAAACAAGGATGAACGAGTCATTGCAGAGCGCCGGAATCACTTAGAGGTAATAGAATTTCTCTAAAGCGGTTTTATGTAAGTATATTTATATGATTCTGTCTGCTTGACCAATAGGAACTGCAATAGAAATTAAATGGTATATAGGCAACTTTGCAATTGCTGCTGCTTCATTTAAGAGAAGAAATGGCAGTATTAGATCATACAGTTATGAGACTTGTACATCAGAAATACTGTTCTGCTCCTGTTGGGAAGCATCTTGGGAGATAATAGGAGGCATTTTAATCTTGGAACTAAGAGGATATACGTGAGTTGATTTTTTAGAATAGCAAGATTTTAAAGAAACCTAGTACTTTGAATATTTATCACTGTCAGTGTTTCAATGTGCAACGTTGAATGCCATTGTTTTTGTTAGCAATTCAGTGGCCAGATATGTACTAGAGGGAAGTATTGCTCAGGCTTCAGGATAATCCAGGTTTTGGAGACCAAAAAAAAAAAGACCTTTGGGTCCTAAAAGCTGAGGGGCTAGTCAAGCCATCTAGGGACTGGCCAAGAATGGAAAGAAGCAGGGAAGAAGGATTTAAGGATATCTCCTCAATGTCTTGTAAACTTACTATGTTTTGTTTGAAGTAGTGCAATATAATTATGTAATTATTTCACATCAGTGGTTCCCAATAATTGTACCTCCAGATGTTTTGAACAGCAACTCTCATGATCACTTACCATTGCCCATGTTGGGTTGGACTTCAGAAAATTAAAGCTCAGGACATCTGGAGGAGCTAACACAGCGTTTCTCAACCTTCCTAATGCCGTGACCCCTTAATACAGTTCCTCATGTTGTGGTGACCCCCAACCATAACATTATTTTTATTGCTACTTCATAACTGTAATTTTGCTACTGTGATGAATCGTAATGTAAATATGCAGGATGTATTTGATATGCAGGATGTATTTTCATTTACTCGACTAAATTTATCACAAATACATGATACGCCGAAATTTGAATACTGGTTGGGTGTGAGGTTGATTTTGTAATTTGGGAGTTGAAGTTGCTGGGATTTATAGTTCACCTACAATCAAAGAGCATTCTGAACTCCACCAACAATGGCACACAGAACTCCCATAACCAACAGAAAATGCTGGAAGGGTTTGGTGGGCATTGACCTTGAGTTTTGGAGTTGTAGTTCACCTACATTCAGAGAGCCCTGTGGATGCAAACAATGATGGATCTGGACAAACTTGGCATGAATACTCAATATGCCCAAATGTGAACCCTGGTGGAGTTTGGGGAAAATAGACCTTGACATTTGGGAGTTGTAGTTGCTGGGATTTATAGCTAACCTACAATCAAAGAGCATTCTGAACCCTACCAATGATAGAATTGGCCAAAATTCCCATACAGAACCCCCACGACCAACAGAGAATACTGTGTTTCCTGGTGGTCTCTGGAGACCCCTCTGACACCCCTTCATGACCCACCCAGGGGTCCTGACCCCCAGGTTGAGAAACACTGAGCTAACATATCACCCACACTTCATGAAATTGCTTGAACCTGCTTTATAAAGGCCCCGTATTAGTCTACCTAGCCTGGATACTCTGTCTCACGCTGGATTTCCATAGTCACTGATGGATGTCATGATTCTTAAATTCTTTTGGCTGAAAATGGCAAGAGATTTAAGCTGAGATCTTTGTAATGCATAACTTACTCTTCCAGTGTGTCAAGGCTGTAAAGGTTACTTCAGAACCTCAGTTTTTCAGAACCCAAATTATGTAAACACATGCTTACTGTGCTTTTCCCCAATCATTAATCGGGTATCACTACATTTCACTGGGCTTTATTTATACTCTATTTTGATGCACCTCATATTTCAAGGAGCGGCGGAAAAAGTGAGATGTCATGTTCAGAACAAAGCTTTATATTTTCTTCTTGCGTTTATAGTGCCATTAAAGTTGATTATAAATAAATGTTTCAAATTGTCAGAGCAGTTATATTTATAATATTACACTACATTTATATCTGATTGAGGGATCTAAACAGGATCATACTGGGGCAGGACTGCCAGTGTTTTTCTTTCTCAGCATTCAAAATTGTACTTTAGGGAAGTTGAAGAAAGATTTTCAGGAGGAAAATATCAGTACTGACAGCTTTGACCTTTTTACACCTGTCTTTTGTCATTCTTTTCTTTATCTGTTGCTTTTATACTGTTTTTCCCCTTTTTGCCTAGATTATTCACACAGATTGAACATCATGTATTGTTTCTGCATCTCTGTGTTTGAAGAAAGAACCATTTTTTGTATAGAGATTGTTGAATACAGTTGGGAATACAATTTTCACCTTTAGCCCAGCATGCAGAACTTTGAATGGGTTCATCTAATGCACAAAAAGGAAGGAAGGAAGGGTTGAAACAAGTTAGTAGAGGGCCTTTTGAACCAAATACAAGACAAGGGCTTGTGTGACAATACAGCTGCAGACAGTTTAGAACAGGGGTCCTCAAACTACAGCCCGGGGGCCAGATACGGCCCTCCAAGGTCATTGACCCGGCCCTCGCTCAGGGTCAATTTAAGTCTGAAAGTACATGAAAGCACACAACAACAACAACAACAAGAACAACAACCCTATCTCATTAGCCAAAAGCAAGCAAACACTTCCCACTGAAATACTAATAAGTTTATATTTGTTAAATTGTTCTTCATTTTAATTATTGTATTGTTTTTAAGTGTTTTTGCACTACAAATAAGATATGTACAGTGTGCATAGGAATTCATTCATGTTTTTTTTTTCAAATTATAATCCAGCCCTCCAACAGTTTGAGGGACTGTGACCTGGCCCTCTGTTTAAAAAGTTTGAGGACCCCTGGTTTAGAACAATGCTTTCTGAACAAATGAACACTTCTCAAGTTGTCACTTATTAAAGAAGTTGGGTTTTTTCTGACCATGTTGAAATTGTGCACAATACAAAGTAGTTTCAGTTTAACCCTTTCAGCAACAAGTATTTCATGTACAATAATGTTACTTCTCACAAAATGACGTCCATTGGCTGCAGTAAAGTGGTGTTGGAAAGAAAATTGTTGCATTTTCCAAAGTATTGTGTTTGTCCCTGTAGTTAAGAATTTACAGCTTGCCACTGTTTCTATGCAAAATAGGACATACTACGTCATTCACCTTCAACTTTAAATAGAGTTACCGTATATACTCGAATATAAGCCGGGTTTTTCAGCCTTTTTTCAGGCCGAAAAACCTCCCCTTGGCTTATATTCGGGTCAGGGAACGAGGGAGGAGGAAGGAAAGGCAAGCCTCCCTCGGCAGCCTCGGCGGCGGCAGAGGAACAGCAAGCCCTGGCGGCAGGCTTTTCCACAGGCTTGCTCTCCTTCTTCCTGGTCCCATGCACGGCTGCGGTGGCGGTGGCAGCGGCAGGAGGATGCAGGAAAGCCGCACATGGGGTGAGGGGGGCGGGGCAAGTGCGCACCACTCCCCTTCCTCTCTTGCCGCGCGCACACCTTCTTCGGCGGTGGAGGCAGAAAAGACGTGCGAGGGAGAAGGGAAAGGTGCGCGCCTTTCTCTCCTCCCATGCCTTGTGCGCGCCTTTACTGCCGCTGCCGAGGAAGGCGCACAAGGCACTACCGCGAGAGGCCTACGGTGGAGTCTCCTCCCCATCAGGCATGCGGCTCACCCCAGGCCCAGCGCAGGCGAATCAGGGTATGCTTGCAACCCTTGCTGGGGTCTCCTCCTCCACCAAGCGTGTGGCTCACCATTAGGGGAAGGTTGACAGAGAGTGGGGGAGAGAAGAAGAGCAGCCTTGCTGCCACCACAAGGGCACAAGGAGGGAGAGGGAGGCTGTCGGAGAGAGAGAGCGCGCGCACCCAAACCAAATACATTTCTTTACAAAAACTTGGAGGTGGATGTTTTGATGAGTTTGTGCTCTGAGGGTGGTAATAATAATAATAATAATAATAATAATAATAATAATAATAATAACACTTTATTTATATCCTGTTAGCATCTTCCCAAGGGACTCGGTGCGGCTTACATGAGGCCGAGCCCGAATACAACAATAGAAGCAATAACAACAACAATGCAAGCAATTAAAAACAACAAAACAATGAAACAATAACATAAGCATTTCAAATAAGACAACACACTTTAAAAAAAACTATGGGTAGGCCAAATGTAATTAAAATTAAAATAATGCTGGACATGGGCGAAAGAAGTGATAGGGCGGTTTGTGGAAACATATAAGCAGACCTAAAAACAATATAAAGTGCTTTGGAGGACAAGTGCTATGGGATCATTATTCTGGGAAGGCACACTGGAACAACCACGTCTTCAAGCTCCTCTTAAAGATTTGGTCATAAGTACGGATCTAACAAAACATTTACGATTTACAACCCTCTTAATTTTTTTAAAAAATTTTTTTTTTGCACAACCCTAGTACTTAGATTAACTCATGGGTAAGTCAATCCAGGGTTTTTGGAGTGATGTTTCTAGGCTTCTATATTAGTGTGTGTATATATAAATAAAAATGCTATGTTTGTTTGTGGGATTAACATAACTCAAAAAACATAACCCTGGATAAATTGATACCAAATTTGGACACAATGTACCTATCAGGCCAACAAGTGACCATCACTCATAAAAACACTGAAAAACACAGCAGAAGACACTTAAAAGGCAAAAAAAACCCCCCAAAATTATATTACAACGCTTTTGAAAAACTGCATGTATATACACAAGCACACATATACCCAAATATACACAGACACATATACACACACAAAACACATATACACAGACTGGGCCACAGCAATGCGTGGCACAGGAGGGCTAATATTAATAATAATCTATATAAATAAAAACGTAACATTCGTTTGTGGGATTAACAGAACTCAAAAACCACTGGACGAACTGACACCAAATTTGGACACAAGACATGTAACAACCCAATGTATGTCCTTCACTCAAAAAAATTGATTTTGTCATTTGGGAGTTGTAGTTGCTGGGATTCATAGTTCATCTACAATCAAAGAGCATTCTGAACCCCATCAATGATGG